CGCACAACTAATCCCTCGATGGCAAGCAGAGCGAGAGGTAAGAGATAAGCCATGGGATAGAGGGGCGGTTTATAGATATACGTGGCCTCTGTCTAATGCTCTGATCCCAATAGAATCGCACACAGTCGTGCAACTGGCAAGTAGGATATAGCGTTCGCTACGGAGCCCCCCCGTAAACCTCGCTTAACATCGGGGGGGGGGGGGGTGAGGGGCCGAACGCTAGATCCAAGCCCTGATTAATTAGGTCGAGTGAAGAAGGGGGGATCGGGATGTGTTTTTTTCAGCATCCCTAACAACACACAGTAACAAGGCATAGAAAAGGCAGCGCAGAGTATTAGGGCCAGTCGTGGGCGTATTACCACACGACCAGCCGCAGGCGTTCATGGGCAGTCACGGGCAAGACCGCGTGACTACCCACAGACAGTTGAGGGAGTGTCCAGCCAGTGGGCCGGACGCCAAATCGTGCAACGCGTGAGGGGATGTGGCCAAGCGGTCAGATTCTCACAATAAACTAAACGGACAAATCTCAGTATCCGGGCTCTAATGGTAGCCGCGGAAACGTAAGCCCGTGGCCGGGCAAGAATAACTACTTGTAGGTATGCATGCCCGTGGCCGGGCAAATATAACTACTTGTCTGTGTTTGAGTAGTCGTCCTCATTCCTATCCGCTGGCCCTGAGTAGGGTGCCCCTTATGCTGGCGCTGCATCTTTCTTGCCTCGATAGGCATGTATTTCGTTACTGCGTACTTGAAAGAAACATTGCCCTAAATTGCTTGCAGTAGTACCGCCCGATAGATACACTCTACGGTATGACTATCAGCGGTTCATGTCCCGTGTATCACACCACTGCGCACCATGAGTACTACCTCAGTCCATGGTTTGTCTTACCCAGCTCATGTGTCCCAGCACGGCACAACCGGTCGGTTTCTTCAAGTCCTTCCTTGACAAGGTTTGGAGACCGACTCAGCGTCCTTGGTAAGGATGGCCTTAATGCTGAGACCACCTGGGTAGCAATCCTCAAGATGATGAGCGGCTGACAGCCAGTTTTGCAGCTGAGTAGATGGAGCGCACATGCAAGCGATGCGACTTACAGTACGCATCGATCATAGGTGTTAGTGCTTTACCGTTAGGCGCGTGTCCGCGCAGTAACAGGTTGGCCCATCGGATGCCATATCCCTTTACCTCGTCATCTCCGCCCACACAAAGACGATGATACCCGGAGCCGCTGTGAAGGTCCACTTCTCCTGTCGGGGTCATGAGCTGATGTCTTATCTGCTTTGGATATTGCAGAAATTTGCGTGTGGCGACGTTAAGTCTTCGTGCTGGGAGGTTTGTGGGTTCCTGCGCTCGCAGCGCGGGTGCCACGCGTGCATTGCACCACGCCTGGGCTACCAATGCATACGCCAAGGCGCCCCGTGAACTGATGAACATGTCGGACAATGTCTTCGCTGCCATTTCTGCTGCCACAGCGCCCGTGAGTTCCGGGGGCTGTATTAGACGAGCCTGTTTAATATATCCATCCTGATATAGCTGGACGTGGCTGCCCTCGGTCGTCTCGTAGCCCACGGCGCAATTGGCGTGAGAGTGTTTGCTCAGTTTGCATGCGCCGAACGTACTTCCCACGCAAAGAATACATGTGCCAATCGAGTTCCTAAATTCTGCCATGTTTATGCCATCGACGCGCTTGTTTGTTAAGAGGTTTGAGCTTGTCTCGGGCTCTTCATCGCATGACGCAGGTTTTCGCCCGGATCCTCGTGGGATGGTCCTGAACTTCAGTAAGAATGCCTTAGGGGCATCTCTGGTGCCTGCGCCTAGCTCAAAACACTACGAGCAACGCTTTGACTCGTTATTGGGCGAGAAGCCGGGCAGTGCGCGCAGCGCCGAAGCTGAACCAGGTGGAGGAGTAAAGCAGACCACGCGCTCTCTCTCTATCTCTTTCTTTGTGTGTCTCTCTCTCTTTCTCTCTCTTTCCAGTGGCTTCTACCAACTCAAGACAGGTCAGACCTTTCAAGAAAGCCTTATCGATATCCACGCATGCTATAATCCACTGTTTCTTGCGCGCGGCCGCGCTGGCGAGCAGTCTCTGGCTTGCTCGACGAGCAGTGCCTGAGAAGGTTTCTACGTCGAAGACTTCGACGCCCATGAAACCACGAAGAACCAGGCGTAGCCCCATAGTTCGTTCCATCTCGCCTTTGTCGTTCTTGCCAAATTTCCGATTGTGTACGTATCTAAAGGTCATGGTGTTGGTAGCATGCTTGATGTCCTGCATCTTAAAGGATGTGTTAGCATACCATGTTTTAGGCTCCGTGCACACAACCTTAGATATGTTTGTCGGGTTGGCTTGCATGTCCGCCTCCGTCAGGAGGTCGTCTTCCTTGACGACTACAACTCTTTGAGCTGCGGCTGCGACGCGCACGCGCGCTGTGGTTACTGGCAGAGTTTAGCCATGTCAATAGTGAAACATAGCTCAACGTACTAGCCGTGTTCGTCCGAATCGAGATCGAAGTCTCGACGTAATAGGTGGTCCAGGGTACCCAGAAGGTTTCGTCGGCGTCATGGTTCCGAACATAACCTATTTATCGCAAGTGTCCTTGCTCCTCACTGGCCACAGCCTCGGGTGCGTGGTTGTCTGTAACCATCTCGGCGGGTACAGAACACAAGGACTCCCATGGGGATGTCTCGAGCAGCTCCTTTTACCTCTTGAAGCTCGACACACCACGTTTCAATGTGTGCTTCTGGGACCGTTTTTGATTCCTCCGCAATGGTCGGTTGCCTGCCGTCAAGTGCGGCCGGCGCTGGAGGTTGTTCCTCCTCCTGGGCGCGGCCGCCCGGCGCTGGCGTGCCCGCCAGGCCCTCAAATGGTGAGAGGTCCTCGTCGATGCCTGCTAGAGGTTTTGAGGATTTCAAATACTGGATTATTCGTGCGTGCGTGGTTCCAGTGATATCGAAGATCTTGGGAGCGGTACCTTCGGATTCATAATAATGGTACTATGGTGTGGCGGTGGGCAAGGGGCTTGGATCGTCGGCGGGGCAGCAACAACATCACATGCCCACCCAAGCACGGCGAGGCCCAGCCCCAGATCTGCGCAATGCCTCACTCCGCTGGACCCACCGGCAGCATTCGAAAGTGGTGATCCCCCCAGCAGCCCTCGAAAGTGGCGACGGTTTCGCAGCCCCCCAGGGACGGGGAGGTCCCGCTCAGGTCCGCGCGGTGCCTCACTCCGCTGGACCCACCAGCAGCCCTCGAAAGTGGCGACAGACTCTCAGATCGCAGCCCCCCAGGGACGGGGAGGTCCCGCTCAGGTCCGCGCGGTGCCTCACTCCGCTGGACCCACCAGCAGCCCTCGAAAGTGGCGACAGACTCTCAGATCGCAGCCCCCCAGGGACGGGGAGGTCCCGATTGGGTCCGCGCGGTGCCCCACCCCGCTGGACCCGCCAGCATCCCTCGAAAGTGGCGACAGTTTATCAGATCGCAGCCCCCCAGGGACGGGGAGGTCCCACTCAGGTCCGCGCGGTGCCTCACTCCGCTGGATTCACCAGAAACCTTCGAAAATGGCGACAATTTCTCAGATCGCAGCCCCCCATGGGCGGGGAGGTCCCGCTCAGGTCCGCGCGGTGCCTCACTCCTCTGGACCCACCAACAACTCTTGAAAGTGGCGACAGACTCTCAGATCGCAGCCCCCCAGGGACGGGGAAGTCCCGCTCAGGTCCGCGAGGTGCCTTATTGCGCTGGACCCACCAGCAGCCCTCGAAAGTGGCGACAGACTCTCAGATCGCAGCCCCCCAAGGACAGGGAGGTCCCGCTTGGGTCCGCGCGGTGCCTCACTCCGCTGGACCAGCAGCATTCGAAAGTGGCGGCAGTTTCTCAGATCGCAGCCCCCCAGGGACGGGGAGGTCCCGCTCAGGTCCGCGCGGTGACTCACTCCGCTGGACCCACCAGAAACCCACGAAATGGCGATAGTTTCTCAGATCGCAGCCCCCCAGGGACGGGGAGGTCCCGCTTGGGTCCGCGCGGTGCCTCCCTCCGCTGGACCCACCAGCAGCCGTTGAAAGTGGCGACAGATTCGCAGATCGCAGCCCCCCAGGCAAGGCAAGAGGAGACAAGAAGGAAGGGGGGCGGGAGGCGGGAGGCAGGAGGCGGGAGGTGGGAGGAGGGGGACGCGACCGCAGTGCTCTATTCCAAACGAATAGTCGATTCCCTTCCATTCCTTGCCGGGGGGGGGGAGGTAAGGGGGGGGTTAGGGGGGGTAGTAAGTAGAATTGGGGTCCCAGGTCCGACTGCCGCCACAGCGGGTCCTCTGGGGTGGTTCCACCGGTGGACAGGAGGGACAAAGAGTGATTTGCACAGAGGGGGGGGGGGAAGCGGCCCTGGCCCCGGCCTCGGCCCCAGACCCCCAGGGGGGAGCCCAGGGGCTTGGGGGCCATATCATAATAGAAATAATACCAAAACCGACGGCGGGTGTCTCCGAAAGTCCTGAAGGCCCAACTAGGTCCCCAGGGGCCCCTGGAGGCATCCGGGGGGTACAAAAATTTAAACGTCCAGCCTCTCTCTCTCTCTCTGTGTTTGTCTGTTCTCTCTCTCTCTCTCTATATATATATATATATATATATAATATGTATGAATATGTATACACACATGTATATATATATATATGTGCATATATATATATATATATATATATATATATATATATATTAAAATGTATATACATACACATATATACATGCATACGCGAACCTCCTCTTCGATCCCCTCCTCCCCTCCTCGGGGGGCCATCCGTGGATGGAGGGCTGGCAACGTTAGTTCGAGTTCCCCCTCTCGGGGGCGTCTTGGGGCCGCTGTGGAGCCGTCATGGGGCGATGTCGCGGGCCTCTTGGACGCCGTGCGGGCCAGAAAACAGAGAGTGCTGGGCCATAAAGAGACCTCGGCCTTCTGGCTGGTCTGGGCACCTCGGGCTGGCCCAGCGGCCCCCCACCATCGGCGAGGGGAAGCGTTTGTGCCCAGCCGCGGATCTCCTCCAACTCGGGCCGGCCGCCACCGAGCAGCTCCTGGGCAAGGGGGGGGGGGCGCCGGGCGGAGCGGGGGAGGGCAGGGAACGAGGGGGCGAAGGACGGGTGGTAGGCAGGTAGGTCGGTAGGTAGGTGTCCTCCCGAAGAGCAGGTGTGGAGGAGAAAGAGGAGGAAGAGGACGAGGACGAGGACGTGGAGGAGGAGGGGGAGGAGAAGGAGGAGAAGGAGGAGGAGGACAAGGAGGAGGGGGAGGAGGAGGAGGAGGAGGGGGAGCAGGAGGAGGAGGAGGAGGAGGAGGAGGAGGAGGAGGAGGAGGAGGAGGAGGCGCGTCCTCCCATTCGTGCCAGAGGCGTTGCTTCACGCCTGTAAGAAGAGCAGTCGTGGCCGCCATCGTCGTCCTCGTCGCCGTCGTCGCCGCGACGGGTCCTTCACCGCGCTCCGAGCCTGTTGCCCTGCCGAGAAGCGCTTGCCCCGCTCGGCCTGGTCCGGTATGCCGTCGCGCCTCGCCGCGGGGGGGGAGAAGAGGCAGGACACCCCATCGCCTTCCTCCCTTGCTCTTCCTGCTCTCGCTTTGTCTCCTCCTCCTCCACCTCCTCCTCCTCCTCCTCCTCCTCCTCCTCCATCCACCTCGTCTGCCGGTCACTGACTCCATCCTCCTCCCGCCTCATCCCTTGTCCCCCCCGCTGCCTCCTCAGGAAGGCGCGTGCAGTCTCGGGCAGACGAGCCTTGAATCCGCGCTAACGGTCCGCCAACCACGCCTCCTCCTCCTTCTCCTCCTGCTGATGTTTCCTCCTTCTCCTTCCTCCTTCACAGATGGAGGGCGGGTGCTTTTCAGAATGTAGCTCTCGCCTCAACGCCGCGAACATCCGTTTTAAACATGTGCAAGAGCTCCGCGGATTGAGGGCGGGTGGTTTTCAATCACAAGACAGATCGCCGCTTGGGCCCCTCCACCAGCCCAAACGGCGAGCATAAATCGGGCGTAGCACCGCACGCATTCGAATGCCCACACTTCGTCCTCGTACTACTCGTATTCCTCCCAGTCCCCCTCCCCATCCAGATCGTCGTCGTCCTCCTCCTCCTCGTCCTCCTCCTCATCCTCCTGGTCTTCCTCGTCTTCCTCCTGCTCCAGCTCCACCTCGTCGTCCTCGTCTAGGAACTCGTCCTCGTTTATCCTCTTCCTCCTCCTGCTCATCCTCCTTCTCTTGGCACCTCGGCGGCCGAAAAAAAAAAACGTTTACGATCGGGCGCCATAGGTTGCGCCCTCGGCGGCCGAGAATAAAACCGTCTCTTGTCGGTTGCGCCAAAAATTGTGCCTTCGGCGGCTGAGAATGAAACCGTCTCCCGTCTCCGATCGGTTGCGCCATACGTTGCGACCTCGGCGGCTGAGAATAACTCCGTCTCCTTTCGGTTGGGCCATGGGTTGCGCCGTCGGCGGCGGAACATTAAAACTGTCTCCGATCGATTGTGCCATGGGTTGCGCCCTCGGCGGCCGAGAGTAAAACCGTCTCTTGTCGGTTGCGCCAGAAATTGTGCCTTCGGCGGCTGAGAATGAAACCGTCTCCTGTCTCCGATCTGTTGCGCCATAAGTTGCGCCCTCGGCGGCTGAGAATAATTCCGTCTCCTTTCGGTTGCGCCATGGGTTGCTCCCTCGGCGGCCGAGAGTAAAACCGTCTCCGATCGATTGTGCCATGGGTTGCGCCCTCGGCGGCTGAGAATAAAACCGTCTCCTATCGGTTGCGCCATAGGTTGCGCCGTCGGCGGCCGAACCATAAAACTGTCTCCGATCGATTGTGCCATGGGTTGCGCCCTCGGCGGCCGAGAGTAAAACCGTTTCTTGTCGGTTGCGCCAGAAATTGTGCCTTCGGCGGCTGAGAATGAAACCGTCTCCCGTTTTCTATCGGCAGCGCTATAATTAACGCCCTCGGCGGCCGAGAGTAAAACCATCTTCCATCGGTTGCGCCATGGGTTGCTCCCTCGGCGGCCGAAAAAAATCCTGTCGGTTGGGCCATAGGTTGCGCCGTTGGCGGCCGAGCATAAAACCGTCTCCTTTCGGTTGCGCCATCGGTTGCGCCCACGGCGGCAGAGAATTACGCTACCGATGAAGCCCACATACTTATAATGTGTCTGGCGTGATGATAGCTGACGTGCAACTTGCGAGAATGATGCTGGTAGCCGTTGCTTCGCCGATACCGTTGGTGGCGCTGGTCAAGCCTTGGGACACTGACGCGCCGTGCGAACAACAGCCTGAGCCATGGCTACCACGGAAGAGAGCGGGGCTGTAGGTAGGTAGGCGGACGGCGCACGAGTCTCGACGCGGTGGACAGGCGCACGGCGCACGCCGCGGTGAGGGACCACCTCCTGCGCATCCCCGGTGGTGTCCAGAAAATGCAACGCCTGCGATGCATGAACGAGTGGGACGTACAGACGCCGCGGTGAGGGACCACCCTCTGCGCACCCCTGTGGTGTCGAGAAAGTGCCACGCCTGCCACGCTCTCCGACCCTGGCACGCATAGGGGCCGCGCTGAAAGACCATCCCCTGCGCACCCCAATCAGGCGTCGAGCAACTGCCACTGCTGCCACGCTCTCCGACCCTGGCACGCATATGGGCCGCGGTGGGGGACCACCCCCTGGGCACCATCCCTGGTTTCGAGACAGTGTGACGCCTGCCACGCTCTCCGACCCTGGCACGCAAAGGGGCCGCGCTGAAAGACCACCTCCTGCCACGCTCTCCGACCCTGGCACGCATAGAGGCCGCGCTGAAAGCCCACCCCCTGCGCACCCCCTCTGGTGTCGAGCAACTGCCACGCCTGCCACGTTCTCCGACCCTGGCACGCATAGAGGCCGTGCTGTGAGACCACCCCATGGGCACCCTCTCTGGTGTCGAGAGACTGCCACGCCTGCCACGCTCTCCAACTCTGGCATGCATAGAGGCCGTACTGAGAGACCACCCCATGCGCACCCTCTCTGGCGTCGAGAAAGTGCCACGCCTGCCACGCCCTCCGGCCCTGGCACGCATAGAGGCCGCGCTGAAAGACCACCCCCTGCGCACCCTCTCTGGTGTCGAGAAAAAGCCCCGCCTGGTCAGAGAGTGCGCTTCTTGAGCTCGTTCATGTTGTTCTCGGTGGTCCGGATGGTTGCCCGCAGCTGGCTGTAGACCGCGCGGTCGTAGCTCCAGTTCGGTGCCCGGACAGGATATCTCGAGGTGGCATGCGTCCTCGGCAATGTGGCCGTAGTTGCGCCGGCCCGTGGTCGCGCGCCTGTGGTCGCAATGATTTGTCTCATGTGCCTCGGAGGCCTCCTGGGGCGCCTTTTCAGCGCGCCCGAGCCTCGCGACCTCTGCGAGGGCCTCGGCGTAAAACTGCCCTCCCCCTTGGCCGCTGCTGTCGGGGAGGCAGCGCGTTGGCCTGTGGGCGCCGCACTCTGGCCCATGTGCCGTCGTGCCTTCTGCTGGCCCGCGGGCCGTGTTCTTTTGGCTTGTGCCAGGTTCCCCCCCCCCGTGTTCGGGTCCACTGGCCCCTCGGGGCCAACGCCATGGGGGGGGCGCCCCTGGCCCCCCTCCTTCGAGGCGCCCGCCATGGACTCAGCTGCGGAGGCGGCCTGGGCTTGGCTGGGGATGCTCTGCTGGTGCTATGCTTGCTCTGCGCGTTCAGGTCGCAGCTGTTCTGGTTCTCTTGGTTGCCGTGCTGGCGCCAGAGGCTGCTCTGCTGGTCCCGGTCGCAGTAAAGATGGCGCTCTGGGTAGCAGCGCTCCTTCTTCAGGTTGTCTGGGGAGGACTGGCTGAGGTTGCTCTGTTGGTCCTCTGGCCCCTGGGCCGTGGCGCCTTCTGATGGCCTGTAGGCCGCGTTTTTTTGGCTTGCGCCAGGTCCTCCCCCGTTTCGGATATCCCGGGCTCTAGGGACCAGCGCCCTCGGGGGCGTCCTTAGCCCCCCTCTCTCGAGGTGCCCGCCGTGGACTGAGATGCGGATGCAGCCCGGGCCTGGCTGAGCTCGCCCTGCTGGTGCTATGGGTCGGTTTGCTTGTTCTGGTCGTCGCCCTGGCGGTCCTCCGCATTGCTGCACTGGTTTCCGAATCTGTTCTGCTGGCTCTTGCTGGTTCTGATCGTAGCTGTGCTGGCGCTCTGGGGAGCTCTGCTCGGTTTTGTGGCATTGCCCTGGAAAGTCTGGCTGCAAACGCTCTGCCGGTTCTCGCCGGCCTCGGGCGGCTGGCGGGGCTGCTCCGGCGGGCGCGCGACTCTGGGGAAGACGACTGCACCGCGCGGTCGGGCTGGTGGCGGTGTGGGCTCAGAGGGCCTGGGGACCCTCGCCGCATCTCGCTCTCGGGGGCAGCTCTCTTGGCGTCGAGGACCTCCGTGACGTCTGCAGTGGCACCCGAAGCCGGCAAGAGTGCTGGCGCCCCCCAGCGGGGGCCAACGGTCTCCGGCCCGTGGGCCGTCGGCGCCTCCTGCGGCCCGAAACTCAGGGCACGCGTGTGGCTTGCGCTGGGTCCTCCCCCGTTGTCGGGTGTGTTCGCCTCTGTGGGCCAGCGCCCTGGGGGCGCCCTGGGCCCCCTCTCAGGAGGTGCCCGCTGGGCCGAGCTGCGGAAGCAGCCTGGGCCTGTTCCTCGTCGCGCTGCTGGTGGTCGTAGGAGTTCCTCTGATTCCCGTGGCTCAGCTGGTTCCCGTCAGGACGCTGCTGGCCCCAGTTGGTGGTCTGCTCGTTCCAGTTGGAGCGCTGCTTGTTCCACTGGCCGTTCTGCTGGCCGTTCTGATCCGTTCCAGTCGCGGCGCTGCGTGTTCAAGAGGAGGATGAGGTAAGTCCTTGGTTTTGGGTGTGATTGGGTGTCTTCTCCCTGATGGAGCAGGCAATCATGCGAGCAACGGCCCCTTCGTGGTCGCAGTGGTGTGACGGCAGCGTGCCCGTACTCTCGTGGCTGTTGTAAACGAAGGCGCAGGCGTCTGTCTCGTCGCCGCGAGTGGGCCCTGCAATCGCGGGCTCCACGCCGTTGACCATTGCACGAGCCCGGCGGGCGCCACGCATGGCCATCCGCCCCCGCTCGGGCCCCCCCGCCCCTTCGGAACGGGCCGAGCAGGGGAGCACCCCACGCGAGGGGCAGCGGTTTCCTCCTCCTGCTCCTCCTCCTCCTCCTTCTCCTCCTCCTCCTCCTCCTCCAATCCTCCTCCTCCTCCTCCTCCTCCTCCTCCTCCTCCTCCTCCTCCAATCCTCCTCCTCCTCCTCCTCCTCCTCCCTCCTCCTCCTCCTCCTCCTCTTCCTCCTCCTCCTCCTCCTCCTCTTCCTCCTCCTCCTCCTACTCCTCCTCCTCCAATCCTCCTCCTCCTCCTGCTCCTCATCCTCCTCCCCTCCTCCTCCTCCCCCTCCTCTTCCTCCTCCTCCTCCTCCTCCTCCTCCTCTTCCTCCTCCTCCTCATGCCCTCTCCGAGGCTGGTGCCTTTCCGCCGCCTCCTTCTCCTGAAATGACTCTCGAGGTCGCGGGTGCTGCGGCAATGGCCGAGTTCTCTGCCATGGGCCATGTTCTCCAGCGTTACACGCGCGTGATTGTTTGCTCTCGCTCCGCGGGATTCCTTATGCTGCCCCACGGTGTCCCGAGGGCCCTCTGGGTTCCGTGCCGTGGGCAGTCCCAGGTTGCATCCACCAGGGACAAGCAGCTCAGGAAACACGAACAAGGCCGCCAGATGCCTCCATCCGTCTACGAGGGAGGCCTTGGAAAGCTAATTCGCTTGTCCTTTCTGGCCAAGTTTCACGGTTCCCTCCCGTTGGGCCGCGCCGATGTCGCTGTGCCGCCGCCGCCGTAGTCGGCTTCAGCGACGTCTTGGGCGTGCCGCCCTTCCGCAGGCGCGCCCCGCTCCCCCTTCTGCTTAGCCTGCGGTCGTTAGTCTCGGCTGAAGGCATTCCGCAGACGCAGAACATCCTCCGCGCGCGCGCTCCCGCGAAAACCCTCCTCCTCCTCCTCCTCCTCCTCCTTCTCCTCCTCCTCCTCATTATCCCCCGCCTCCTCGATCCCCCATGGTGCTCGTTCCTGCGCGCTCTGAGGACGAGGAGAAGGGATGAGGGAGGAGCGAGAGAAGAGACACCCTGGAGGCCCGAATGAGGTCGAACACTTCCACAAACCCTGGTCTTCGCGGTCCTCGAACCCAAGACATCGCGCTCCTGGAACCATCGCAGCCCGCCGTCCACCCATCTTCCGCCAGCATGCGCTGGCGGACCCCCCCCAGTTTGCTTCCGCCAGCCTCCGCCAGCCTTCTGCGAGAGAAGCTGCTACAGGGCAGGTTTTAATACATAGGATGTTTAAACATATAGGATGTTTAATACATGACTAATGTATGAGTAAATTTATGCATGAACCCATCGTTGTTTTTGATACTACATCCCTTCATATTTTAATACGTGATCCGCAAGCGGAGCATGTATTAAAAAACGGCACCGTAGCACGAAGGAAACGAGCCATTGAGGGAAATGCTCCTGGAGTCTTGTCGCTGTTCTCGGGCCCCTGTGTAGCCCTGCACGTGCCCCGGGACCGCCAAGAGCAACCAAGAATGGAGAGCTGGTCTCCCGGGGAAGGCCCTTCAGGGTCTGGGACTCGCTTCCTGCAGGGCTTCTCTCCACCCATGGCAGCACACATTTCAAAACAAGACAGGCAATTCATGGAAGGCTAAGCCATGTTTCCCCTCGAGGGCAGTAACCCTTCTCCGCGAAAAGCTAAACACAAAACGCAAACTCCCAGAAGGAGAAGCCGATGCCAGCATGGAACCAACCGAGGCGAAACCAGTTGTTTGGTGGGAAGGCGCACCCCATTCTTCTCTGGCGGGAAGGGGAAGCTCTTTCTCTGGATGAGGTGGGCCCTCGGACCCCCGCATGCGAAGGTGGAGGGGCTCCTCCTCCTCCTCTTCCTCGTCCTTCTCCTTTTCCTCCTCCCTTTCCTCCTCCTCCTCCTCCTCCCTCAAGCACATGCGGCCCAAGGCGCGTAGGTACCCTTTGGGCTCAAACTCGCCCTGGCGTCGCGTCCGTCACCGCCCAGAGGTGCTTGGGGGGCACCGCGTCTTCCGCGCAAGTTCTCAGGCGATCGCAGTGGCGAAGGCGGGCAAACTTGTTGGCGAAGGAAGTGGTATACATTCGGTTTGCTCCGCATGCTCCCACGTTTTACTTTTGCTACAGTTATCACGTTCAGCACGTGCGAGGGGGGTGGGAAGTGGCAGCGCTTGATGCGGCTGGTGAACAATCTGTGGGAGGCGAAGCTAGCATCGACCGTCGTCATCCTCCCTGTCTTGAGCAGTACGTGCGAAAAGGACGAGCAGTGGCAGCAGGCAGATTGCTTCTGGGCACCGAACCTTGACCCCATCTCCTGCAGTGCTGGTTGCGGCGCGTGCAAGAAGGGCGAGCAGCTTTGGAGTGTTCAGTCAGTGCGGATCCTATCGTGGGAGCCGAAGCTTGGGCCGACTGTCGTCAGCTACAACGCTGGAATCAGCAAGTGCGAGAAGGGCAGGCATAAGCAGCGGAACGCCGCTGCTGGGCGAGGTGATAAGGCGACGTGTGAGCCGACCGTCACCCGCAACAGAGCTTGGACCAGCACGTGCGAGGGTGGCGAGAAGTGGCAGCGGGCAAGCTCGAGGTTGGAGCAACACGCGGTTCCCTCGGCATGTTGCAGGGCATCATGCTGCAATGGGCCAACGCGCAAACCGTTTTATTGGATTCAGTCGCCTGGCCTCTGAACGTCTCGTGCCAGCGGCCCGTCGGAGCGCTCTCCGCTGCAGTGTCGCAATGAGCAAGCTGAGAGGTTTGCTTGGGCCAAGGCTGGCCAAATCCTTGTGCACATTTTCCCGCGTCCATAGTCTCATGTTTCTCCCACTCGCCTGGTAACGGATAGGTGCTGTTTCATTTCTTCGCAAGTTGTTTACGCAGTCTGTCTATTCGCCGTAAGTGCATCCAATACTCGCGGGTCTATTGGCCTGCGGCGACCGTAATCTGGTGGGCAGCGCGTGTCGGTTGTGGCAGCACCTGTCTGCAACAGCGAGTCGTTTCCTGATCATGCTACTACCTTTGTGTATGTTGCTGCATGGCTGGTGGGAAGGAGTGGCATTTCGGTTTCGATTGATCCTGGTGTGAGGTACTCGTGGTGCGAGGTATAGGTTTCGTTCCTCGCGCTTCCTGGTCCTGCCACTCAGTTGCAGTACTGCGTCGTGGTGTCCGCCTTCTGGTGCGCCTTCTTCGTCGGCAAGCGCAAGGGCTGGCGCGTATTTGACACAGACACCGTCCTGATGCTATTCCTAGTCCTAGTCCTGGACCTCCTCCGTCTCTTTTCCTCGTCCTCCTCCTCCTCCTCCTCCTTGCCGATGTGAGGAGGGGGAGGGGCTCCTTCTCCTCGCCCTTTTCCTCCTCTTGGGTGCCAGGCGACGCCCTGGAAGCCGAGACGCCCTTTCTCTTGCGTGCCCCGCGCTGCCCGCTCCCGCCGCCCCGCGGTGCACCGAAGGCGGCGGCGTGCCGCGGGGCGCCCGCCGCGCCAAGGGAACGGCCCGCGCGCAGGGGGGAGGGGGGGGTTCTCCGGGCCAATGCCCGGGCCCTCGAGGGGGAGGAGGAGGAGGAGGAGGAGGAGGAGGAGGAGGAGGAGGAGGAGGAGGAGGAGGAGGAGGAGGACGAGAGGAGGAGGAGGAGGAGGAGGAGGAAAAGGAGGATGAGGAGGAGGAGGAGGAGGAAGAAGAGGAGGAGGAGGAGGAAAAGGAGGAGGAGGAGGAGGAAGAAGAGGAGGGGTCGGGGCCCTGGGCCATGTTGGCCTGCGGTGTGTGCGCGCGCGCCCAGGGGCGGGCCTTCCCAGCACAGGCGGCCGATTCCCCCGGGGAGCAGCGGGGGCGCACGCGCCCACACCCCAGGAAAGGCAGGAGATGCCTTCAGCCCCTCTGGCGGAAGCGAGGGAATTGGGGGGGAAGAGGCAGAGGAAGGGGGGGAGAGAGGCAAGGGACAGGAAGGGGCAAGGGGGAGGAGGGGGAGGAAGATCCTCCTCCCCGATCCTCCTCGTCCTCCCGGTCTTCCTCCGCCTCCTCCCTTCACGCTGGTCTATTAGCCTAAGGTTGCGACGCTCGTGAATGATAAAAGCATGTTGAAGACCGACTTGGCGCGAAGTCGAAAGCCAACTGGCGGGCGCCGCAGGACAGGAAGGGGCAAAACCATGTGCGTCCAAACCGGAGTGCCAAGAGTAGGCGCCCACCAGGGTGTACAAAACGGGCAACAAATCTACCTTGGTAAGTGCCCCCACCCGCTGCACCCAAGCATCCCCCCTCCAAATATTTTTAGGGCACTGCCTGCCGCGACAGTTGGCCGCAGTGAAAGTAAGCGCAGGTGCTGAAAATATGCGCGTGCAAAGGGGCTGGCACAGGTCGTGCTGGCTGGCCCTTGTCGTTAAAAAGCCGATTTGGGATCCTCCTCCTCTTCCTCCTCCTCTTCCTCCTCCTTTTAACATGACGAGATCCCCTCCCAAACGTAGCAAACGCGATACATGAATTGGCCAGGCAAGCGATGTACATAACAGAAAAAAAGTGCACGCAAAGCGGCATGTCTTGGGCTGCTAACCAGGGTTGCACGGTTCACCCCGAACCTCCATGGCCGCGGGGCCCCGTGCTTTTGGCAATCTCTTTACAGGTTTAGCACGAACCCCTTTTGTGTCAGTAGGCAGGCGCATAATACAAGGCTGGCCTGCAATTGGTGCGGCATGACAGAATCAACAGCACTGTAGAACTGAAAGTGAAGTGTTGTTGCGCAAGAGAACCCGACATGTTAAGGTGCTGGCTGCCGTGACAGAAGGCTGACTGCTGTGAACAGCATTGGCGCGGATACCAGACACAATAAGTGCGTACAGAGGGGCTGGCACCAGGCGTGCTGGCTGGCCCCTGGCGTTCAAGCCATACACAAGACAACTGCTCTGTCAGTGGTCCTCCCCGCAATGACCAAACCTGTCCGCGTAATTTGGGCGAGATGGCAGCAAGTAAAAAACGTGGCGACACCGCCGAA